GACTAAAATCTAAGCACTCAGAAAGAGTAGCCACATCTAGGATTCAGGACAACATCAATAAAGACCTGGAGGTTATTTTTCAAAGTTGAATCAGAATCAAGTTTTGGGTCAGTAGGCTTAATTTTGTCTGAGATTGTGACTCAGTCCCACCCCTTGGAGTCCTATAGCAGGCTTGGAAATTTGTGAATTTGTTCAGTGGTATCCCTCCCCATGCAAAGTGATGGCAATTGGAAATGCTCACCACAGTGTGTCACCACAGCTAATGCTGCACCACAACTTGAGCGTTTCTCTACAAGCCAGATCCAGGAATTTTTATTTTGGCCATTGATTTTTTACAGCACCTGCAGTTTTTTGTTTTTGCTCCAAAGATCATCATCTTCCTTTGAAGTCTCCTGACTGGGTTATGTCTAACCTGATCCTGTGGAGGCAAGGGACTGAATAATTACTTTATGAGTGCCATATTAAAAGCAGTCCAAAGACTATTTATGCTGCTCATTAAAGTCATTGGGAATTTGGCTGGGCCATAGCTCCCTGCTTTGGTCATGCAATAGGGAGAGGAAAGCATTCCAAAAATTGTTATTTTGTAATTACTTGTGCTGTGGTGCCACAAGAGGATTTGATTATCACCCTTCCATGTTTAAAACTGAGATTCCACAAAGCATTACCATCAGTACCCTCAGTGTTTGTCCTCCAAAGCATTGATTAACTCCCAATTTTCAAATGGAAATAAGCAGAAGGTAGCAGAAAAAAAGAAAAAAAGAAAAAAGCAGGAGAGACAATAAAAGGTTTGCTTTTAAAGTCAAAATTCTTAGTTGAAGTTAAAATTATGTTCGAATTAGAAGTATAGTTAGAATAAAGTTTTCAAAGTTCTGAATTTATACCCCTTACTGCCTCTTGCAGTACCAAGGAGTAAAATCTTGGGGCCTTGAAAGTCAACAGGTTTTTGGTACTGGATAAGGACTACAATTTTAATTTTTATTTTTTGTACACTGACAAATTTGATCCTACTGCACACTACCAAAACAGAGCAAATGTCCTGACTCCAGACTCCCCTGCTGCCAACAGAGGAACAGGAAAGCTCATGGACACTCACACTTGGAACATCAAATCCACTGGGTTGGGTGTGCTGCCTTGTCAGACAGGAGGAGAAGACACTCAAAGGCTCAAGTTTTGGCACTGGATTGTTAGCATCAAAATAGAGAGAAAGTCTCCATTTCTGTGCCTCCTTCTTCCTTGGACAGAAAGATTTTTGTGTTTATCTTCGAGACTAGGCATTCTGAATTTGTGTCAAACTGATGTATGATATCAAGCTCCATTTCTTTAAATACATCTAGAAAACAGAGTGGAAATGAGTTGTTTGCACGTTATTCTGTGGCTGTGCTTGGAATGGGGGTGGTTCTCCTTTAAAGAACCACTCAGGAGCTCAGACATCCGGGCAGTTGTGCATCAATTAGCAGGATGCATTGCTGAGTGTGAGCTGCCTGGAAATGCAAAGGGACAAATGAGAGCACTGAGGTTTCCATCATCATTTTGCCTTCCTGCCTCTAACTACAAATCAGCTTCATTGTGACTCACAGCATAAGAAGTTGGTGCATTTCTGCAGATCCGTGATAAGATATTTTTCTTTAGTAAGAAATGCAGTTAGACTCTGCATTCTGAATCTGTTCCTGCCAGGCCCTAGATGCATTAGTATTCCACTGGCAGCTGCCTGTAGGTAGGAATATTGTTTTTGTCCATAACCAGAGGGAACAATCAGACTAAGCCGTTCCCCAGCTATAAACCAGCCAAAGTAATTGGGTTTAATTTTAATTTTTGTAATAGCTTTAAATTAATAGGAGCAGCTGCTGCCACAGTGTGTGGGTGTCCTTTTCCAGAAGGCATAGAACAAAAAAGGGAAAGAGTAAACAATAGTGTGTCTAGGACACAAAGGTTAATTCAAGAACTGAGCAATGTCTTTTTGTTATCAAAAACTCAGTTGGTGATATCTAGCACTTTGTCTCTTTTCTTTCCTTTTCTTTCCCTTTTTTCTTTTCTTCTTTAATTCCCTGATAAGATCTCAATCTGATTAAGCTCCTGTGTGTAAAGATGTGTTGTTGGTATCTAAATGCTAACTCTCTTTCTCTGTATGACTCACAAATAGATTAGCAGTGACAAAGTGCTAGGAGAGATAAAAATAGATTAGCAGTGACAGGAGTACTATTATAATTATTTTTGGAAGATATGGCTTGAATTAAGAGTTTGGGCACTTTTTGCCCTGAGAGGGTGAATTTAAACCTAGGAGCTGAGGATGGTTTCTGCTGTTGTGTCAGACACCAGATAGTGAAATGTCAATACCAGATGTCCTAGACATCAAGATTAGCCATAATAGCCAAATGCAGCCATAAAGTGATGTGTCAAAGTGGATAATAAAACAGATGCTTAGCTTTTATAATGAAGGGGAAAGGGAATGAAATATCAAAAGTGCCTTTAATACATTAACAAAGTTGTCTTCAACTTGCTTAAAAGTAGAAAGTTATTGAACCAAGGAGAACTATGTGTCATTTAAACATTAACTATCGGCAGATGAATTTCAATTAGCATTAGCCTTTCTAAAATCCTGAATTTCCTCCTATTGGTCTCATTTTACATGAAATTTTTATAGCACAAAGTGAGGCTTGTCCTTTATTATTTTCCCCATGCTAATTTGGAAACAAATAAAGTTCAACAACTCAGCAACACACTGTTTAAACTTGCATTACGGTTTGAGGACTGGGAGCTGGAATACATTTACCCACTGCCATATCATCTGCTTGATTTGAGATCAAATGAGGGATGTCCTATAGCACTCCAGAGTAAGGGAGAATGATAGAAATATGTTAAGATACTGAAGAAAACCATTAGGTAAGAGGGCTGCATGCAGATGGCTGGTGGCATTTTTTCCCTACTGATACTTTGTAAAAAAGAATAAAAGGTTTGTTTTTCTGTCTTTTATACTTGTGTGTTAAATAGAATTTCCAGATCTTAGTGGTGAACAAATGTCTTATTTAACAAAAAAAAATCTTTACATCATAGATTTCATTAGGTTGGAAAAGTCCTTTAATATCATTGAGTCCAAATTTATCCTGACCAATGCTGCCCCCAAAATACATCCCCAGGTGCCACATCTACACATCCTTTAAATATCTCCAGGAATGGTGACTCCACCACATGCTCTGACAGCCTCTTCCAACGCTTGACAACCCTTCCACTGAAGAAATATTTCCTTATATCCAATATAAATTTGATTGTGTGACCCCACAGTGCCCAGGACCGGGGCACAGTAACTGCCCTGGCCCTGCTGCCACACCATTGCTGGGACAAGCCAGGTGCCAGTGGCCTTCCTGCCCACCTGGGCACAGCTGGCTCATGTTCAGTCATGATGGTGAAGTTATTGAGGTCCTGAATGTTCAAGAAGCAGGGCGTTAAAAATGGCAGCAGATAAATTCTTTTTCTGAGTGTAATTAACTGCATCACTGGTTCTTTATTTTGCTTTCTCAAGAAGATTTCAATTCTTTTCTGTTTCTTTTTGTAGACCCTGAGTCTTGCTGGTCAGACTCGTTAACTGATGCTAATTGGCAAACGAGTACCTGTGTATAATGAGAGGGTTTTGTCCTCTAATTCAGATTAGCAATGAGAGGCCAAAACTGAGGCTCTGCAGCAGACCAGCTTCTCGGAATGATTACAAAGACACACATTACTGGTGCTATGTCTGTAAATCTTGTTATGCTTCTACCTCACCATGATCCCAGTTTAGCTGAGATCTGCTTCAATCATTAGAAGAGACCTGTTTATAAGGTTGTGTAATTGAATCAAGTAAAGTCTGCAGGACCATAGCATTTTGTTGCCAAACATGACTGGTAAGTTACTTACATCAAATTACAAGTGCATGGCATGATTGGAGACTATTCCTGTCTAAATGAAGCTGGAAATTCCACCTAAGAAATGAACAAGGCATACAAGCAGAAATAGTGAACATCTCCCATCCATAGAACAAGTTTTTGCCCCACCTCTGAAATATTACTTATTTATCTTGAAAAGTAAGAAAATAACAGGAGTCGTGTGAGAGATTGCAGGCAGATATTTGTTGCTCCTCAAAGAGATGCCACCTTGATAACAATGACATAAATGTCTTTATTATAATTATTTACCATCAGGTACATTCATTTCTATCTTGTCAGATAAACCAGAAATGTTGAGGAGAGCAGCAGTCCAATTTGGAATGGGAACAAATACAACAAAAGAATTCTCCTTTGCTTTCTGTTTTAAGAGCTGGTTATTTTCCATACCTGAAGTTTTCTTGTATGATTTTCAGGTTGTTTGTTGTTTGCATGTTTTTTAACCTCAAGAATTTATCTTTTGTTCCATTCATTGGCTATATGTTGATATGTATGCTGACTATTAAGGATATCTATATAAAAAGATGTTGTGAATTTCAGGGTTAGTTTTGTCAGTGTTGCCTTATGCTGACATTCCTTCATTAGCTGTGCCTCCTCTCTGTGCTGGTGAACTGATAGAAAGGGTGAAGGTTTGGCTGGAGCCTGTCTATGAGTTATGAGCAGTGTGAGGTGGCAGCAGCCTGATAGTGAAGTAGAGGATATTTGCACAGCCTGTGCATCCTTTTCACTTTGTGGGAATGGCTTTCCCTGGTTCTGTGGTACTCTCCCTGCTCTGGTGACTCTGCCAGCCTGGGCACCCGGGCACAGCTGCAGTCCCAGTGGTGACAGTGGCACTGGAGCAGTCACAGCCCTGGTCTGCACAGGTGCTCCCAAACACAAGCTCTGGGATCTCCTCACCAGCTCCTGAGCTGCTCAAGCTGCTCCACTTCATTTACTCTGGAGGGAATCTGAATCTCACACAGATCAGATCTCTTATGTCCGTGTTGATATGCATCAATTAATACATATTGAGATTCCTATGGTGGCATAAAACTTGGAGGAAAAAATTAACTTACAGACACGTTTTTGTTTGTTTTTGTTTTTCAGGCAAAGAATCCCCTCCAAAAACGTGTATTACTACCGCTGCCCAGACCACAGGAAGAACTATGTCATGTCCTTTGCATTCTGCTTCGACCGAGAGGACGACACTTACCAGTTTGCCTACTGCTACCCCTACACCTACACCCGCCTTCAGCACTACCTGGACAACCTCCAGAGGAGGAACATGGACTACTTCTGCAGGGAATTGCTGGGGCTCAGCGTGGTAAGTACCAGCAGGCTTCCTTATGGATGTCTATCTACCCTTAAATGCCTCCAGAGTATCATTCATCATCCTTGCTAAAGCACCCACATACACAGATTTGTTTTCTTGCTATCAGTGACACAGGAGGAAGTGTACCTGAATGGTGAAGTATAGGCAAATGCTAATTGAATTTCACATAAAATGTTTCATTTGATATAGTCAAGCCAATGCTAGATTCCTGCGTAGGATCAGTTCACCTCTAAAGACATTAAAAGATGAAACTGAAACGGCTTTATTGAAGAAATGTGATTTTTAGAGTACTCTGACTGTTTGTCTTTCTGGAAGTGCTTTTCTGTTCAGAAAGAAATATGGGGTTTTTGACCCAGAAGACAACTTTTCTTGATAAAATAATGCAAAACATGCACAAACCAGCTATTTTCTTTTCTCTTAAAAATTTGTGCTTTGGTCATTTGCAATTAGAAGGGATTTAGTGGTCTCTGTGTAGATCCTAATGGCCACATAAAATGAAGTGTCATAGTTCTTCTAGAGCAGGAAAGAGAGTTAATGGTGAGGCTGAACTTCTGTTCACTTTGCTATAATCTTCTTCTGAAATGTTGCTTGTCCAGGGTATTTGGCAAGCATGACTCAGCCACTCCCATGTCAACTCAGAAATCATCAGATTAAAAAATAATAGCTCAAATCTCTTTTCTCTTTTTTTTTTTTAACTTTTGCTTTCTTGAACTTTATAATGCACTTGTACCACACTCTTAATCTTTTATCTGAGATTTGATTTGGTTGAAACTTGTAGTGTGTCTTTCAGAATCAGAAAGTTGTGAAGGCTGCTGATACCAGCAGCAGGGGCTTTGAAAAGAAACCCAGCATATATTGTGAACATCAAAATGAACTCATATATATACCCTGCACTGAAACAAATGAAAGGCTTCAATCATTAAAGCAGGCCATTGAAATTCCTATGGTGGCATAAAACTTGGAGAAAAAATTAACTTAACAAGAGTAAAAGACAGAATTAAAAAGAAGTAATTTTTTAACCCTTTTTGTAGGTTAACTACAGTTCTTGTTCTAAAGATGACTATTGCATATCCATGAACTGGCATTAATTATTAATCATTCCAATTAGGGGGACAAACAATTATAAGGGAGAGGGGTATTAAAAAATAGAAAAGTAAAATCTGCAGAGGCTGGGTGGAAAGAGCACTATCATCTTAATGTGTGTAGGGCTTTAATTATTAATCTTAGAGGACAGAGCTGTCATTAATTCTATAATGAAACTGAATTTGTTTCCTTTCACTCTGAAACTAGTGTATAAACAGTCTCATTTGCATATTCATCAAACCTCTGATCTGACTGATTAAAACACAGAGATTGAAGGATTTGTCTTTTATCTGCATTTTGACAGACAGAGCTATACTCTTAAATCTTGTTAACATTGTGTTACCAGTAGTTGCTAAATATTATTTTTCATATTTCAGCATGCTAAACAAACAGATGCCACTCAAAATGTGGCAGGAAATGTGCTGTGTATAAGTCCTGCTTTTATATCTATATGTACACACACAGTATGTTTTGCAGAAATTGATATGGTAACATTTTGCAGCTCCCCAAGCTGTATAAAAAAGCTTCTGAATCAGGCTCATGCTGTAATCTTTGTGAGCAACATTACAATCTCAGAGCATTTCTGGCTTTTCTCCACACACAACTGTCCTAGAACAGCTTGGTAATTTAATGTCTTTGCTGAGCTTGAATAGACAATTTCCATAAGTTCTCTGCGAGTTAAATATTTTAACATAGAGCTTTGTTGCTATCATACATCTTTAAATGGTGAAAAACAGGATCCTTCATTCTTCACTGCACAGTGCTCCATAAAAGCAGAAGCTGGCTGTACTTTGGAGGATTGCGTGCCATATAGGATAGATTTAGAGCTAAGAAAGAGAGCTCTGTCCCTGCCCTGGCCCCTTATGTAAGATAAGAGGAATCAGATTGGCATAAAGAGGCCCTCAGAAGCTCTATTCCTGGCCAAGGGACGATACCCCTGGCAGCACATGGTGAAAGGTATTTTAAAGGTGCCATCTGAGGACAAACTCTGTTTGATTCCTCATGCTGGGCACAGGCTGAGGAGGGAGAACATGGAAGGGGGAGGCTGCAGCACATCTGTCCAGCTGCCATGCAGCTGCTGGTCCCCTCGGGTTCATGCCAGGGGAATCTCACAGCCCCCCGCTGCAGTCTGTGACTGGGAGGATGGGGAAGTGTTTGTAATTTCACTTCTCCTGGTTTAGGTGGTTTTGAGCTGTGTCTCTTGGAGATGGCAGAATCTCACCACAGATCTTTGGAGCTGTTTTGGTTTTGGTTTTTTTTTTTCCTTTGTTGTGAAAAAGTAAAACTCAAGTCACAAGAAGCCATGCCTAGAGGATTACTCCTGGAGGCTTTCTGAGTGCACATTTTGCTGCATATAATGTTTTCAAGGCAATCTAATTTCTAATCTAATTTCATATCTTCTCTTAAGAAAGTACTCTGCCTCTGTTAACTCCTGAAATACTATCACTAATTCTATGAAAATTGAAAGTGAAATATCGGTATGGGACATGTAATTGTCATTAGGATGGAGAATGACAAAATGGTTCAGAGCCAAATGGCAAAGTTTCCCATTCCCATTTAAATGGATAACTTAGCTGTACTATTTCTGACCTTTTAATGCTTATATTCTTTACTTCAGAGAGCTATCTCACATTCTAGATGTGCCAAATGTTCTTGAAAATAGTCTCTCCTGCAAGTGAGCTGAGATGGTCACCCAGGTACCATTTAAGCTGCTATTTTCATTCTGCTGTTATTGGCCTTGGGTAACTTCAGATTTTCTTGTTTGCCCCTACAGATCAGAAGTTCAAAATCTGTGAGCACTTTTTTGAATTGTGGAATTACTTTTTTGCATATTATTGATGTGTCTCTCCTCTCAGCAAATATAATACAATATTTCACAGTACAACATAATTTAAAACATTTTTTATATTTCTGTGAAAATATAAGCACAGGCACATTTTACATTTACAGTACATATTTTGTGCAGTCTCACGTGCAATAGCTATATGTGTAGCATTATAACCAATTTTTAAGAGTTGTCAAAATTTTGGAGTGTGTTGTCATTTGAGGCTGGTGGTTCAAATTGCCTGTGTGTGCTTGAAGTGTGTGGACAATTGATGGGACCTGTACCTCCACTGGTATTCCATGGACATGCATAATAAATTAAATGAGTTTGGACAGCCTGGCTCAACTTCTACAGCCCACTTTACAAATTGACACTGGCTGGGCATTATTTTCATTACTCACTCCAAAGAGAACCAGGATTAATCAGAGCCAGATACTTCCTTTCACTCCATTAGGCAATGGTGCTTCCAAATTACACTTGAGGAGAATTGTGACTGCACATACAAACCACGAGCCTCAAAGGGACTCCCACAGTACACAGAGACTAGAATATGGAGTTCTGTTAAATTAAATATTAAACACACATATTTTAAAACAAGAAGGCAATATGTCTAATGTAGGGCTCTGTAAATGAGCCCATCTCTTAAGTCAGATATGGAACACTGAAAGACTCAGACTGAGACACAGAGTGCTTCCTCCTGACTCCACACCACTTTGGGGTGTGCTTTTCATTTACATGAGTTACTCCTGATTGATGCTGGTACCAGAGAGAAGCAGAATGATGCCCTAAGACTGTGAAACTGCACACCAGATGTCACATTGCCGCTTCGTTGACCAAATTTCCTTTATTTACTGACTAAATTACTTCGTACCCCAGTAAAAATTCTTGATCGGTTCTGCCGTTTTCTACTGGTCCATTTTTAACTGCTCAGTTATGAACGTTTTAAAGCATGAAGCAAAGAAAATAGGCAGTTTTTCTAAGGTTAAAATTCCCATTTCTGCATTCAACTCTGGGTTATGTAATAACAGCTCTGTAAAAGAAAAGTATACTCTTGGTCTTTGGAAAAAAATAGAAGTTACAGGCTTCTGTGTAATGTAATGTACCTCTGAAATCCTGTTGGTGTCAGATACTGTATTTTCCAATGGATTTGACTGTAACTAGGTTGAAATGTCATGTAAATGTAATTTGTGGCAATTTACTTGGCCTGAAAAAGGCCACAGAAATCGTGCTTAGGAAAAGTAAATCCCCTTTCTCATTTCTCAGTAGTTTAAAAGAGCAGCTATGTATATGTTCAGGACACATTATCTTTATGCAGTGGTGTATTTTTTACTCCTATAGTGGTGCTGTTCCCAAAACATTCGTAATGTGGATGTCATCCCAACACTGTATGTGAGATTTTAAATGTTCCTACAGCTATTTTCTTAGCTGGATTGGATATCAGCAGAAGTAGAGTTAGACCTAAAAATAACACCACCAGCAGTTCTTTCCAAAATAAAATAGGATTTATAGCACATAATAGCACAGTGTGCTACGAGGGAAATTATATAAATAACATGAAAAATTACAGGGGACTATTCTATACCATCAGTTTTAAGGAAAATGTCTTTTTTACAATTTTAAAGGAGTTCTGGGAGATAACCTGGCCTGTGGGAATCACAGAGTAGGATGGATAGGTGAAATGATGTTACTATTGAGTGTTGCCCTCTTTCTGTTGGATATATACAAGGGTTCATGGTGAAAACAAGAAATACTTTGGTGTAAGTTGGCAGCAGTATATAGTTTTTGAAAAAAAACAAACAATGAAACCATAATTTGCAGCTAATATCATGGAAGGTTACTAAATACATAAGCTGGTTATTTCTTAAATTACAGAAAGAACACTGTTTGATAAAGTAAAATAATTTCTAGAAGGATTTGCATTAACTGCTCTTTATCTAATTATGAGTAAAAAAATCTTAAATTGTGAAAAAGGATTCAAATCTTAAGTCCATTTTGCAGCTCACATTTTATAACTACCATTCTCCATTTAATAAAAAGAACTCTTGGAAAAAGCACTTCACCAAAAAGAAGCTTTGAGCACAAA